TGATTTTTGATTAAACAAACTTTGCACCTAATTTTTAAAAAGTAAACTTTAAACTCCCGATTTTTTATAATTTCCCTAACATTTTTATCCATCTTCAGGGCCAGACTCCAAGAGGCCTCTGCCTGAGGCCCAGCATTTTGGGGGGCCCAAATAAGTATTTTTGTTTCCTTTTTTTATTTTTTTAAACCAAACTTCACGGTCTTCACTTTCAACTTTGTCAATCCTCGGCTCCACGGTAGCGACAGAGATAAATCAAAACCTAGAGTCCTACCTAGACCAACGACACTACTCTGCAAGTCTGCAACTTCTCCAAAATCCGACCGGCGACGGCATCCTTCTGTCTATTTTCCTTGGTAAATCATTTATTCTTTTGTTATTAATTCATTTTCTTGTTTTGGGGTGAGATTCAAATTGGGTTCTTTGTCTATTTGTTGCAATATCTTGAAGATTTGAAATTTGAAGTGTATCTAGTATTCCAGTTTTTGGTGAATGAAATTGTTATGGTTGGATCTCAACTTCAACCAAAATCAACTAAATTCAACACACAATTGAAAGCAGTCAGTTGGGAATCAATAACCCAAGCTGTAAATCTATTAATTGAAATGAAATTACAATGCAATAGTGAAATGTAAAGAGAAAGGGGGAGAAGAAATGCAGAAAATCAGAGAAGTAAGAAGAGAATTCAGATTCAGAGACATAAAAGAGGACTGAGAAACAGATTTAGAGAAATGAAAGAGAAGGAGAAGAAGAATTTCAGATTAAGAGATGAAGATAGAGAGAAGCTGATAAGAGAAATGGGGGGATTCAGTTTTTTGCAACAATTTTCAACTTCCTTTTCATCCTCCCCATGTGCTGAATTTATGGAGAGTCATAGAATATTCTAGAATGCGTGGGCTGTGGTGAGAGTTATGATCGAAATTCTGAAATTCATCCTGCTTAATTGCTTATTGAATAATCGTTACCTGTACCTGTAAACCTTATTGAATAATTCGCCGGTGCTGGCTCCGCCAGAACTTTTGTAATTTGGAACCTGCAGCCCGCAGCTGGCAGCCATAGGTGATGGCAAAAAAACCCGTCCCGCCCCGCCCTGCCTCGCCTCGAATGGGGAGAAAAAAACCCGGCGGGGCTGGTGGGGCGGGGCTGGCAGGGGTGCCCCGCCACGAAGCGTCCTGAACCCGCCCTGTGAAGAATAATGGAAGTTTTTGAAAAAAAAAAAAAATAAATGGGCAGGACGACTGAAATGGTGCAGGGGCAGTCTAATCGCAGGGGAACTGAAGAAGATGAAGCGATATTGGTTTGGGCTTTATTTTTTTATTTTTTTTTAAAGTAGTGGGCTTAAGTTGTTTTAGGCCCTTTTTTATAACATTAAGCCCAGTGGTAATGGCCCAAAATCCAAAACCCTGTAATCCGATTGAACTAAATTGACAAATACAATTTTCACCAAATTTCCACCCTTTCTCTTATTCTCTGTCACTGTGCATCGCCCGTCACCGCCGTGGCCTGTGGACTTGCTTGTGAGTCTGTGACCTGTCATGCCTCCAACTTCCTCCTATGGAATTTTAGTATGTAAGTCTATAATTTGTGCAAAGATTAATTTGGAATTTTGGTTCCTGCAGGCTGCTGCTTCATTTTTTTGTGTGCAAAGATTAAGTAGTGGGCTTTAATTCCTTTTTTTCATTGTTTTTTTAATTTTCTTGTCTGATTTGTAATCTGGTCTCGATTCAAATGTAACGTCCATGCCTATTTTTGTGGTAGGAAAAATACAAACATGAAGTTTTCCTGTCTGTCTATCTGTCTGTTATGCAAAATGGAGCATTTGATAGAAACCAAATGCATTGGCTGAGTTAAAAATTGAAGGGGTGATAGAAACAAAATGCATTAGTTAATTTTGATGCTTTAATTTGATTGGCGATTTAATATGTGAATTGTGGTGATTTCTATGCAACTTCTTCATCAACAAAATTGAAACGTGATATTGGATTTTATTAGTGTTTTTGAAATCGCATTCGTTCTGATTGTCGTGAATGATTTAATTTCAACCTAACTCCTTATAATTTATTTAATTTTCCAAAATTTTTGTTTCTTGATGGTTATCTGTTATTTTTCGACAACATTTCTCTTGAATTTTTGATGTGGTTGATATGGTTTTCTCCTTGCTGCCCCTGAAGTGCAATAGGTGAAATACCCAGGACCAAAATCCAGTAGGGGCAGGTGGCTCCGCACCTGTTTATACCACATTACAATTTGATAACTTACTTTACATTATGGATGAAGTAAACGTGAAAAAACAGAATGGGAAGCACCAGATAGTTTTAATTGACATTTGCATATTTAACTCATTCAATTTCTTGATAATGTTTCTTATTCCATATTTTGCAAAACACCCTTTGATTTCTTAAGTTTAGTGTTTGTTTGGGATTAGATTATTTGTAGTGAAACATGATTTTGGAGAATGCATGATTAAAAGTATGGAAAAGTTATGGAACCACGTGTAAAATCATTTTATTGCGAGAACGTGGTTGAAAATGAGTTTGAGAAAAATTGATTTTCAAATAAGATGTGCCAAACAAACGCTTAATTGTCCAATCCTAATAGAAATGCAAGCCTAATATTTCTAGTTGTATGTTTAGCTTTTGTCTTTGTGCTGATTGTTGAAGTGTTAAGTATCACATTTTGTGTTGAGACATGTAATTTGGATTTAGAGAATGATTATTTGGAAGCTCATAAAATAATGTCTACTATTTGATCGTATGATGATTCACTTCTGTCGAGTATCAGTTTGAATCCATTGCCTGGATACAAAGTTTAATGGATCGCTTTACTTCGATTATGAATGGCAATTTTCTGGAGATTTTCTTCATTAGAAATGCAATTTAAGTTTTTCGATTCGATATCTGGCATAGCAGTTCAACTAGACTAGGTTTGATTAGTTAACAAGGATTTGGATAATTCATAATAAGTTTGTGACGTATTAAAAGTTCCTCTATATTTAAATTCTTAATTTAATAGAATTATTGATATATAGAAATCTACACCACCTTCTCTTCTTCTCTATTGCTCTCTGATTCCACCTCCCTTTCTCCTTTTGTTGTTAAGTTCTTCATCACCTAGTTTATCGATATGCCTCTTATTGGGAAGATATTATTTGTAGGTTGCTTTGTATGACTTTAAAAATACTGAGAGAAGTCGGATGGTCTTGCAAATTCACTGTCCTTTGACAAATTCAAATAATAACTTGTTTAGCATGCAGAAAATTTAATAGGATATCAGTTATTGCTACTGCCATTTTATTTTAATGTGAAGATTTAAAGAAATGATGCACACAACATTTTTATCCATCTTTATCAGTGCTTGACGGGACAAACAATGGCGACCCAGCCAAAAGAAGAGGATGTTTCACAAACGGCAGATAGCCAGCAAGAAGCAACACATATGACTGTCGGGTGGGGAGGGAAAATAGAAGAGCAGTATAGGAAGATCAAGGAACATGCAGAAACATACCCCTATGTATGGGGTTCCTATATCCTTGTATACGGAGGGTTTGGTCTCTGGTTGACGTACAGGTGGAGAAAGCTCCGAAAAACTGAGGACAGAGTTCGAGGTCTTCAAGAGCGACTCCGCAAGCTTGTTGAAGCTGAACAGTTGACGAATTCTGTTTCAGCAAAAGAGCAATCTACGAACTCTTCTGTAACAAAGAACGGACCTCCGTCTGCCGATAAGTAGAGCAAATATTGGTTTATTCTACAATCAATTTAATGCTTTTCCAATGAATTTTCTTTACGGTCGTAGTCTCTCAAATATTGTTTTATTCTACCATCAAATTAATGCTTTTCCAAAGAATTTTCTTTGCGGTCGTAGTCTCTCAAATGCTTTGTAGTTTGGATAAGCTGAGTGCAAATACAGTTATCCTTAGTTTAGTCATGCCTAAAGGCTGAAGAGCTTGGAATTTGTTGTATCTTACATTTATCGGCACATGCTTCAAACACTTAAGGTCCGTTTGATTGTAAGAATGAAATTGGGTGGAAAGAAAATGAATTTCAGGGAATTGAAATGTCTAGAACATGTTTTACTTAGAATTGTTAATTAATTGTGTTTGATTGATATAATTTTTCACCTAAAAAATATTGAAATTTTGGATCTTTTGGTGTTCGTTTGGCTTTGTTTTCTATGAAAATTGTCCATTAAAGAAATATAATTTGTTACAATTGAGGATGTAATTTGTTTCTATTGTCAAAAAAAAATTTTAAAAATTTTAAAAAAATTGCCTAAAAAAGCTCTTCCCATTGAAATGGTGAGAAAAACTTTTCCTCAAAAATTAAGAAAATGTAAGCATGTGAGTCAGTGGGTGAAAGATGAAAAATCAATTTCATGGAAAATTTGGGCAATCAAACATGCAAAAATGTGGAAAAAGAAATTTAATTTCCATCTTCCATGGAATTGAAGTGCAATCAAACATGGTCTTAAGATTTTATTTTTTTAAGACTCGTCTAAATTATTTCAGCGTTACTATATATTATCGTTATTTTGACATGTCATATTATTGTTTTCGTTAAAGGCTTGTGTGAGCGAGATTTTTCAAGTAACAAATAATTTTCTAAAAAATGTGTCGTTAAAAATAATTGAAAATTCAAAATATCTCTCCCAAATAGGCTCTAAAATTGAGATTTTAAAAAATTATATATATATAAAATGATAAACAATTTGGTGTAAATTAAAATCTACTTAAAAATTTTAAGTCAAAGTCAACGATCAATTTTAATTATACATTTTATTGACTTACGACTATTCAATTACGCATTTAATCAATTTTTATTAAAATTTACTAACAAAGGAAAAAAATTAGAGTGTTGCTATTTAGGATGACTGGTGTTAAAACACAAATTTAGGTTACACTAAATTTCATTAAATAATAGGTAAATTACATAATTTCACTTGAATCTATCCCATAATGTCAGTGTTCTAATAGTACAGGAAAACATCGATAAATTAATAATCTCGCTTAATTAATAAAATTCTTCGGTCCCAACTTGGGCTAGTGCATTAAATTAATAACCCCGTTAAATGTATAAGATAATATTTTTTTCTTTTTATGAGATCCTTTAAGGCTCTAAGAATATATAAAATAATAATTGCTTAAAATTATAAAAGTTCATGCTAATATAAGTTAACAAACTTTTTAATTTGACAACATTTTTTTTTTCAATTGGGCTCTTTTTCAAAATATGCATTTAAATTCTTTTGTTTTTTCTTTCCATCCAAACCAAATTCAACTTTATTCCTAAATTTTTGTAATGCACATATTACGTTAGACATATTTTTTCATTTTGTACAAAATAATTATTTGATGTTACGATTGTTAAAAATGATTCTTTCGAAGAAAAAATTGATAAAACACAATTATCATTTGAATCATGATCATCATTGATACCCGTATTGAATACCTCTTGAATATAAAATGAATAATGCTAAGTGTACATAATCTTTTATACCTCTCTCACATGGAGGGGGGTCCACACATAATAAAATAATCGTGGACCCCTCTCCACGTGAGAGAGATGTAAAAGATTGTGTAAAAGTGTGTGTACATGTAGCATTACCCATATAAAATACTCTATAAATTAATAAATATTCATTTATCGACAAGATAATAATCTCTTACCGACAAAATAAAATTTTTTCGGATCTCAACATTGTAATTTTGCAGAGATTATAGTCTATTGTACTATATAACTAACATTATTAAAAAAATTATGATTTGCTTGGTGACATCAACAAATCAACACCTGTTGAAGATCGTTCAATACTAATTGACTATCCCGATGATGATAGCTTACAGATTTCAAGACGTTAGGATGCCACGTTTTCTTTCCTAAAACTTTCGGGCTGGAGCAAACTCCAATCTAACCATAAATAATGCAGCGAATTACCCTCCAATTGCATCGCGGCCGTTGATTTGCTTTACATTTGGTAAGTACTCATCCACTGCGCTATGTCGGCACACCTTGTCTGTTCTTAAATATTGAGGAATAATCTAGTGTTATTAATGAGAAAACTGGCAGCCATCGTGCCTTTTCTCCATTTATATGCTAAATCTTGAGGATTTTGAGCAATTCTAGAAAACCACATTTGTGTTTGGATAATAGGGGAGGTTTTTGCATTAGAAGGTACGTTTTTTTACTTGTGTTGTTTTGAATAAATCCTTGATTTTACCGGAAGTTTTTAAAATTTTGGGCTTTTTATTGAGGATCTAATTCATGTTTTGACGTATAAATTGTGCTCTTCATTTTGTAAATCTTTTGTACTTGCAGTAGTTCATTGATATTTTTGTAAGATAGAATCATCTTTAAATTGATATTCTGTCAATTGTGTTCAAAATTGGGTTGCGTTCTGGACTAGAACAGTCTATAACTCCCGGCGGAGGTGAGGCGGGTTGCCCTTACAGGTTTCTGAGTTTTTTTTAAGATGAATTTGATTGTATAAAATTACCTTTTTGCTCAGTTTTAAAGTGTTGTTAGCTTTTCCCAAACGACACATTTTAGAATTTGCTTAATCTGGTCTTTTAAGTTTCTGCACTGATCTTTTTAATGTATTTTTTAGAAGTTGAAAAAGCTAAAAACTGTCATTCTTTGATAGAAAACCAAGAACAAAAATCAAGAAAAGGGGTGAAGATCTTGTGCCTTTTTTCTTCTTCTTCTTCTTCTTCTTTTTTTCTTTTGATTGTTTCTTTTATCAGCATCAAAATTCTAATTTTGCTTTGTGGGTTATGATCTATGAGTGTTTTTAATTAGAAAAATCAGTTATGCTTTTCATCTATCTATTGGATGTACATTGGAACTTAGATGTAACCTGCTCAAAAAATTGTGATTGGTATTAGTCATTTTTCTCCAACTGGGGAAGTTTGGCATCATTCCAACTCTGTTAGTCAATGTAAATCAACAATTTAAATGCTATGCAGATTTGCAGCCAATGTCAGTTAGGGTTTAACAATTAACTGGATATTTTTGAGTTCAGTGGTGTAGCATGTTGGATTTTTTTTTTCTTTTTTCCTGGAAAAAATGCTCTTTTTTTTTGGGATTTTAAAGTTCACACAGTTTGATACTGCCTTCCTTTCAGTTTCAGGCTTGTAAGTTTGAAGTAGACTATTTTTTCCTTTCAGTTTCAAGCTTGACTCTTGGATTTTTTATTATGTTGATCAAATCGATTGAACTGATTATTTTATATTTTGTTCAGTGTAAGATTATTTTGTCATGACATGTAAACTTCCAATCATATCAATTGAACTGTTTT